ACGTCACACTCGTCGTAGAGGTCAGAGTAGTTGTTGAAGTAAAGCTAGTGGTGGAAGTCACCGTGGTTGTGGAAGTGACTGTAGTCGTTGAAGTGACACTGCTTGTCGATGTTGCCGTAGTTGTGGACGTGATACTGGTGGTCGAAGTAGCTGTAGTTGTGGAGCTGACAGTTGTTGTCGAAGTGAAACTAGTGGTCGACGTGGCCGTCGTTGTGGATGTTACACTGGTGGTGGAAGTAGCCGTGGTTGTGGAACTGACGGAGGTAGTCGAAGAGATGCTTGTTGTCGAAGTTACCGTCGTTGTGGACGTTACACTCGTGGTTGAAGAAGCGCTGGTAGTAGAGGTTAAACTTGTCGTGGAAGTCCCCGTCGTGGTCGAAGTCACGCTCGTGGTTGACGTCAGTGTGGTTGTCGATGTAAAGCTAGTCGTGGAAGTCATCGTTGTTGTTGAACTGACTGTGGTACTTGAACTTATACTTGTTGTGGTCGTTGCTGTAGTCGTTGATGTCACACTGGTGGTGGAGGTTGCTGTAGTGGTGGAGGTCATGCTCGTCGTAGAAGTCACGGTGGTTGTTGTCGTGGCACTGGTGGTGGAGCTCATCGTTGTCGTGGATGTGACCGTAGTTGTCGAAGTGATGCTGGTGGTCGATGTTGCTGTGGTTGTAGATGTTACGCTGGTCGTGGAGCTTGCTGTCGTAGTGGACGTTACACTCGATGTGACGGTGGTTGTTGAAGTCACACTGGTTGTCGATGTTGCCGTAGTTGTGGATGTCACACTGGTTGTGGAAGTAGCTGTAGTTGTGGAACTCACACTGGTGGTCGAAGTAGCTGTGATTGTGGAACTGGCCGTTGTTGTGGAAGTGATACTGGTTGTTGCCGTAGTTGTGGAAGTTGTGGCACTGACAGTTGTCGTGGAAGTGACACTGGTTGTTGCCGTAGTCGTGGAAGATATGCTGGTGGTCGAAGTAGCTGTGATTGTGGAACTGACCGTTGTCGTGGAAGTGACACTGGTTGTTGCCGTAGTCGTGGAAGATATACTGGTGGTCGAAGTAGCTGTGATTGTGGAACTGACCGTTGTCGTGGAAGTGACACTGGTTGTTGCCGTAGTCGTCGAAGATATACTGGTGGTCGAAGTAGCTGTGATTGTGGAACTGACCGTTGTCGTGGAAGTGACACTGGTTGTTGCCGTAGTCGTGGAAGATATACTGGTGGTCGAAGTAGCTGTGATTGTGGAACTGACCGTTGTCGTGGAAGTGACACTGGTTGTTGCCGTAGTCGTCGAAGATATACTGGTGGTCGAAGTAGCTGTGATTGTGGAACTGACCGTTGTCGTGGAAGTGACACTGGTTGTTGCCGTAGTCGTGGAAGATATACTGGTGGTCGAAGTAGCTGTGATTGTGGAACTGACCGTTGTCGTGGAAGTGACACTGGTTGTTGCCGTAGTCGTGGAAGATATACTGGTGGTCGAAGTAGCTGTGATTGTGGAACTGACCGTTGTCGTGGCTGTTATACTAGTGGTTGAAGTGGCAGTGGCTGTGGTAGTCGTGGACACAGTCGTTGTAGTTGCGGCTTGCAGCCGTCGCAGATCGATATCCTGGCAAGCGTACTCCAGCAAATCAACGCTACAGTTTTGGGGGATTTATGAGAAGCAAACCTTGCGTAGCTCAACTTGGTTCTGGGAGCGTTCAGCTTTGACTCTGTTAGTCCATAATGCAAGCAAGACTCCTTTGGATGCCTCAGAATGCAATGCTTCAGGCTTCGTTTCTTCGCTGCATGGAGAGAAGCGCTGCATGCAAAAGACTGCGCCGAGACCTTCTCGCCCCGAAACAACTGAGAAGCCTTCCATCAAATCCAACGCAATGCACAGCACGGACGCGTATTGCAGGACCTTCGATTCCCCTCAACCTGACAGCCAATGCCCGCAACCATCGAACACGCAAAGCCAGGCCGCGAATCCGCTTGCTGCAGTCTTCTGCTTTCAAGGCTTGACCAAGCGCCCTCTGGGGTCACCTTTGGCGATAATGTCGGCTCTAGGGCTGGTGCTTATGCAGCCGTTAGATGCCATCGTCGAAGACCCTCCGAAAGGCAGAAGTCTACGACACGGGGTGGGGGGGGTGCCGGTGCCGCCACACGCAGAGATCGACACAGCACAAGCACGACACCACCCGGGCTCCGCAAGGGCTCCGGCCTCGGCGTTCTCCGCCTCGCTCTGGTTTACGGCCTGGGAGAGCCTCAGAGAAGCGCTCAGCTCCCCTCACCTCTCCTCCCCTCATAAAAGCACAAGGGAAAAAAGAGGTTGGCGGAGCGTTGCACGAGGTCATGAAGTCCAGCTTTGAAAAGGGAATCTAATGGCATGTTTTGCTTGCTACATCTTGTTAACAGCGAGCTGTCACCCCAGCAAAGAGGCTTTGGGTCGCACCTGCTTTGCGCAAACACTGCCAGAGCCATCAGCGCCAGGGCGAACACGCCGGGCCAGGCCTTGGAATTTAGTCAAAAAACCCACCCCGAAGGAACAAAGGTGAACGTTATCAGAGCATTACGCTCTTAATTAACACCATCCTCATCGTCGGCATTGGCAACATCATCAACACCACCATCACCACCAACAAGAGGAGGAGGGGCAAGAGGAGTAGTACCAAGCAGCGGTAGCAGTAGCCTTAGCCACAGTAGCAACATTACAAGCAGCAGTAGCACTAGCACAAGCGGCGGCAGCGGCAGCAGCAGGAGCAGGATGTAGTTGTAGCTGCACCAGTAGCAGTATCAGCAATTTCAAAGACACTGATCCCTGAATTCTCGCTCCAAAACCGAAGAGAGAGTCCGCGTGCCCGCCTGCCGACATCTGTCTCGCCCCGGGTGGCTCCTACAGGGCGGGGCTGTTCAGATTGAACAGCTGCGATAGAAGTGCAAACACAATGGCGGAAAAGGCTACATGCATAAATGCTAGCCGCCTCACAACTATATATGTGAAACGACTCAAACTGACGATCGTGGCAACAATCACAAGACACGGCGACACTCGTCGCCTGGAATATGTTAACAGTTAGTGTACGGAGCATAGTAAAAAAAGGATAGAAGTCTGAGCACCTGAACCTGCATACCACGTACATTGAAATCAGCTGCAGGACTCGGACTTCTTCGAATGTGTAAACTCCTCCTATGATAGAAGGTTATGAGACGAGACCAATAGGAGGAGAAAAGGGGCTTTTTTGCTATGATGCTTTCGTCTTTTGCGCTGAAGAGCGGCTCTTGTTATAGTCCTGTAGACTTAGGGGGGAGTTGGGCGACGAGGCTGGGCCGATGTGCACTGGTCCAGGGTTATCGAGGACTCCAGATCCCATTGCTGATTTAGATGGCTGTAGACTGTAGATGTTGCAGTGCATGTCAGATGGGGATCCGGGATGCATTCATGATGTTTGAAGATCGGCAACTGCACTGAGAGCCCACAGAAGCGTCGCCAGTCCTTGAGTGCCTTTCGGAGGAGCCAGCCATTTCAGGAGCAAAGCACTCTCTGGAATTGCTCACTTTGGCAAAACTGCGCACTGCAGGGCTGTTCGGTGTGGTGCTTGGGGTTCGGTAGGGCTGGAAGCCCTTGCGGGCAGATTGCGGACCGTGTGCCGGACTTCAAGCTGGATCTCTCGGTTTCTTGCGGTATTCTGGAAGGGCTCACAGTTGAAAAACCTTCTACTTCGCTCTGGTATTGGGCCCTTCCCTCACCTCGTTGGAAGGTCTGCGGCCTGCACTTATCACAGGACGCTCTGAGCAGAAGTGCAGCGGGGTGCGGCTGGAGTCATGGAATGAATCTCAAATCCGCACAGTGCCTACTTGCACCTTCAGGCTTTCCCTACATGGTGTTCCGTTCCCCAGAGTTCAGAACTCTGCTGTCACAACGGCGGCGAGACCTTGCGCTTCTTGGGCCGCGCCATGGTGCTGAAGAACGGGCCGGCAGCGAGAGGAAGGGGTCAGAAGTCAAGGCTAAGGCGTTCTGTTCGGGCACATCGGCTTCTGCTTGTTTCTGGCGGGGAGGAGGCTCGCAGCTGCCTGACCATGATCACTTCCCAGTGCTTGAGCAAAAGGAGAAAGAGAGAGCGCCTCTTGCCGATTGGAGATGTGCGTTGTGCGCTTCTTCTGGGCCTCGAAACTGCGGTGCCCCGATCTTTGCACCGCGAGTTTCTGACATCTGGTCCTGGGGACAAGCCCTGCGGCCTCACCCTGACCACGCAAGCTGCCGTTAAGCTAAGGAGACGTACTGAACTGCTGAACTGGTCTGGCCACGACCAAACAAAGCAACGAGTGCTGGCAGCCTCTTGCCGACCAGGCACCAGGGCGCCAAGACCCAAAAGACCCAAACCCTCAACAGCGAAAACACATCCTCACGGCTTTCTTACTGAAAGTCAGATCTGGGCCCTCAGGCTTGAGAAGAAGCGAAGCTTGCAGGCTGCAGGCACCTGGCGACAACCCCAGCCCGTCAACTTTCCAACAACAAGCAAATTCATGCCTAGCTTGACAGAAGAGCTGCCAAGACGACGTTCCAGACTTCATTCTCATCACGTCTGCAACATTAGGTGGGCCCTCTTCTGATCAATCAGAGAGCACCAGACAGAGGATGACACATGCGACGGGGATGAGTTTTGGGATCCTGAAGCCTGAAGCAGAGGATCCGCTGACAGGCAGCTCGCCTAATCGTCGAAGAGTCCACCTCGGTTTGTTGCTTTGTGACGAGATGCTGTTACGAAACGGTCCTAGCTACGCCATAACTAACAAGGAAAGCAGACCGATTTCTTTCCTTCAGCCAAGCCACCTTTGCTGCTTCTCTTGGGCGCTTCGTCGCCAAACCTTCATCAAGAAAGAGCATTCGTTCCTGACACCAAAACCTAGACTCCGATGATCCTCCTCAAGCAGCCCCTACTTCGACACTCCTCGGAGCCTGTGGTTTCGGGGCGTTTTTTGCGGGCTGCGGAGCTTCTCCGCTTCAAACCCAAGAGGCACAAGAAGCCTCCGAGTCAAACTCTCTGGGCTCCGTGCAAGCCCCCACCGCCCCCGCCGGAGTCGCTGGAAAGCAGCCCCGACCTCAGTAGGAACAACTTGTATCTGTGACAAATCTAAAAATCAACGTAGCCTGCCGTTCACCAGCATCTGAGCAGAATCCGTGCGGGGGGGGGGGGCGCTCTGAGCACTGCGACATGAGCCCACTGGTCTTCTTGCCGAGCTCCTCCTTCCGTAGCCGCTCCTGAAAAGGCAGACGCGATGCTCGGAGAGCTCAAGGCTGGGCGCTGTCATGTTCCTTGGGAACAAGAACCGACGCTAGGAGTAGCTAGGAGTCCTCCTCGCGACGACGCTCCTCCTCCTGTCTGCGCCGCTCCTCCTCCTGACACCATGACGTGTGAAGCAAGAGCAGGCGCGTGCAACTACTGCTTTTCGCAGAGGCCGCTGAGATCCAAAAAGCTGTCACCGACATATCCGGACCTACCCATTCCTAGTCCTGCCGACACAAATGTGACGATGACGATGACTGCGATGACGGCGATAACTATGACTGGCTGCTACTCCGGCTGCTGCCGTGCGGAGTCTCATCCTCGGAACTGACCTTGTGTCTGCGTGATCAGACACTTCTGAGTCGAAACCTTCCGCCGTCGCGGGCTGCGTGCCCATACCCGCCCGCAAGCACAGCATGAGAAATCGGTGTACCAATAATGAAACGAAGTCTACAGAAAGCTCCGCAGCTTGGTACCTGGGCAGAGTCTTAATCTCTGAATGCCTTCTTAGGTGGTAGACTGGTAGTCATACATCCAGTAGAAAAAAGCACTCACGAACCAAAACCTTAACGCATGAGGCCTCCAATACACTCGAAAACTTGAGCTCACCTGACCTTGAGCTGCACTGAACGTGTTTGAAACCATCTCCACTCATGAGGGGTTCCTTTGACGTTTTAAGATCCCCCGTTCAAGTATGGTTTTCTAACGACTCGGTTGTGCTACTGCAGGCCCCCAATCCCCAGGATCCCAAGCCTCACGCTTACGGCGCTCTTCTTCCTCCCTTCGCCGGTTCATCTCCTCGGCTTTCCAGGGCAGAGTCCGAGAGGCTCACAGGGCTGTTTCTCACTGAGATGCTTCTGCACGCCGGCGGTTCTCCTCCTCCATCCTCAAGCGCTCCTCAAGGAAGCGCCAGCTTTGGACCACCCCATGACTCCGCTTTCAGGGTGGGGCCCCGGCAGCTGCGAGGCGCTCTTGCTGCAGACGCTGCTCCTCGAGCGATCTGGGGCGTTGCTTCGTCGCTTCGCTGCTCACCTCGCAGCAACTGCAGGTCCTCGGGCGAAGGACCTTGTTGGGCACCTGACAGTCGTGCGGCCATCTGCTGCCTGTAAGCAAAGTTCTGATGAATGAACCCCTTGAAAAACCCAATTCTGACAGCATATCCAATTCAAGAATCCCGCTTGCAATGCTGCAGTAAATTTCCGAGGAAGCCCACATCTCGAGCCTGCGGCAGAGTAGCCCGGCTTGCCCGGGGGCGCCACCAAGGCTCCACCTCGCCACAGTCTGCAGATACTGTCTCTGTGCAAAAAAAAGAGGCATGTTTAGCTGCAGAGCTGAGGTTGGCACGCTGCACTTGTCCGGACACAGGAGCACGCGCCGCCTTGCTGCTGCGGACGAGCAACACAGATCAACGAAGGACTTGGACAATGAAAAAGGAGCATCGTAGACAGCAGACCCTGTCGCGTTGACAAGTCGATGTACCAACCTACTGGACCGGCAGAGCCGGAACAAAGCGATCCTGTGCTGCGTGTTGGTTACTAAGACGGGTACAGGAAACAAATCGTGCATGCATGCATGAATGCATGCAGTGACCAAATCATTACTAAAGGCATGATCAGCACAGAATAAACGAGAACGATCAATATGAGAACGGCAGTGCTAGTGGTGATAGTGCCTGTAGCAGCAGCAGTCGTAGCGGTAGAAGTACTCGTAGCAAGCACAGTTAATCCATGGCAGTGGTTTGAGCTCACAGAGAAACATGAACCCCAACTCCGAACAAGGATGAGCCCTCACGACACCCCGCCCCTTGCTTTCTGCGAAATCCCCAGACCCCGCGGTGAACTATTAGCATGCAGGTTTACACAAGTCCCCCATCCCACTTCACGCCGAAGCGTTGCCTATTCCTTGCGTGAGTAAACTACCGAATTAGATTACAAAGCAACTGGCTGCTTGTCAAAATCATAGTCACACATGCTCAAATGACACAATCGAATCTGGTCGAAGTAACTAGATGAGTGTCCGCATGACAGAGATGCAGTGCGCTCTCAGTGACATTATGGGAGCCATGCTGCCCCTGCAGGTGCATCCGCAGCGCGGTGCAAGCTGTCTTCCAGCCTCTCCTGGATGAGGACATCTTGGGGGCAGTGTTGCCTCAACAACCGAGTAGCCTGATACCCTTCTGATAGCAATGCCTTGCCCGAAACTGTCATGGACCTGGAAGTTAAACAGCGGTTGCATAGACCCAACTGTATCACGACAGATCATCAAGGAGAACCCAAGGAAGATCGGGTTGACCAACCTCGTGCTGATCATACTCGGCAAGACTCTATGCTGATTGTGGTGACGCAAGGCACCCGAAGTTGTGGTATGTTGGAAGCTGTACGACCGCAGTGCCCTCTTGATTGAGCCATGAGCACATGACATCATGTTGGTCCTGGGCAGAGGCGATCCGTCCGAGCTTCTCATCCAGGCTCACGAGCAAACTGCAAACCTTTCCCAGGAGCTGCTCCTGGCCTTGGATGCATCGCACACGGAGACACACCAGTACGGCCTCTACACAACTTGACAGCCAAGGTAAACATCTACAATCATTAAACCGGCCACCAACAATGACTTCAGCTGCGAACACTCTGGCCACGCCGAGGTGTCATGATGATACGAACTCAGAATAATCATAATAAGTCCACCATGACTACATACTGAACACGCATATGCACATGTTGAATTGTTTGCCATGAACCTGCATAGAAAAATGCGGAGGAGGGCACGGGAAAGGCTCGTGGTACCAACGGAAACAATACCTGTTATTATCGGTACTGAGATGTTGTTGCTCGTACGGGAGCAACAGATGAGCTTTTCCTGCCGCTGCTAGCCTAGAACGTTAATGGCCGGTATCAGTATGCTGACCGTGACTCGTGCTTTTACTGTTGGAGAGTACTTTAATGCTGCGCTGCTGCTGCCGCTACTGCTGCTGATGCTCCTCCTGCTCCTCCCGCTCCTTGGGGCGTGCTTTGCTACCCGCTTCTCTTGCTGCTGCTGCTGCTACTGCTACGACTACTACACCTACTACCACTACTACCACTGCCACTGCCACTACCACCACTACCACCACTACCACCACTACCACCACTACCACCACTACCACCACCACCACTACTAGCACTACTCCTGCTGCTACTACCAAACATGCTACCACCACCAGCACCACCACTACTACTGCTACTACTACTACTACTACATCTACTACTACTACTACTACGACTACTACGACTACTACGCCTACTACGACTACTACGACTAGGACGACTACGACGACCACTACTACCACTACGACGACGACTACTACTACTGCTTCCGCTGCTGCACTGCTGTTCTGAGCACCTTGGCAAGACACACAGACACCTCGGGAACATGCGAGAAGAGCCTATCACTACGAGCTTCCTGGAATCATCACAAAACAGAGTAAGCATCCGAATCGGTAAGCAGTAAGCCTCTCCCGGAATTTGTGCTGTGCTGCTTGGCTTTACCTTAAGGATTTGGCGTTGGGAGGACTCGGCCACCACTCGAAGAAGAGCCTCGGCAGTCACCTGCAAGGCGAAACGTCGGCACTTTCAAGAGTGTCAGTGTCGGGATTTCAACCTAAATGCAACCCTTCCATTTTCGCAGAGGAGGACTTACAGAAATAAGGTTTTGCAGCAACAGGTGAAAGGATTGTAGGAGCTGTGCGCACATTCTGGGCACAGTGAAACGCAGCCAAAGCTCTTACGTGGTAAAACCGTGTGGGTTGCTGGAACGTTTAAACCCGTAACCGTTCAAGGCACTATACCTACGTGTAGGGCACTGACGGACTCCGTGACCCCGCAAAACCCTGGTCTAAGAGCGAGCGGGGACTTCTTGTGACAGATACCGAGAAAAGTGATCATCGTCATAATCACCAGAAGCCCGGGCCTACTCACTCCCAACCGCTATCAATCATCAATCTCAACTAAAACACAGTCAAGGGAAGACGAAGCATGATATCCTCCGCGCAGTACCGCGCAATACTCTATACTCATGAGGTCGCAACCCTCAGACTGTCAGCAAACCACGCTCGGGACTCTCTCGATGCCTCCGGCTGTGCAGGAGGTGCGGCGTTCTCCTTCGAAGCTCACTTCTGTTATCCAACTCCTCGCGACTGCTTTTGCTACGACTCGTCGTCTGCTACGACCGTGCTACACTGACGACGCAGAAAGGAAGACTTCCAACTCGGTCACAGGGCAGTCCGAATCCATAACCAACCGTGATCCTCCTTGTTGAAGCGTCCAGTGCACCCGGAATCTTCGAAGCCCCACCCCGTTGTCCCCTTAAAGGCCTGCGACAGGAACTGAGAGAAGTCATCCTGCATCGGTGGACAAGGGATGGAGACTGTCTGCAGACGGTCTCTAAAGCTCTCAAGTGGAGCCCTGCCTCTGCTCCTAACGCCTCAACTAGGCCCCAGCCCCAGCCTCCTCGGGATGCGATTGGGCCTGCTCCATCCTGGCCAAGGCCACCTAGGGAGGTTTTTCGGAGCACGGATCTTTGAGGAAGCGGGCAGCCTCTGAGCCTCCTACGCCTGGATGGTGATAAGCGAACGTTCTGCAAGCCGAAACAGCTGCAAACGAAAGGCGAGCTACACTTTCAGAACCGAGGAGAAAGGCCTGCAACGAGGCGCACCTTTTGACTGAAACTTTTAACTTTCTCGCGCCTGGATGCCTCGGCCACGCACGGTACTTTCAGCGCGTGAAAACCTTTCGCAGAGGCGTTTCTGTTCCTGCATGTGAACACGGCCCACAGACGCAGGAACACACTGGCTGTAAGTTGTTGGTTAATAGACATTTGACATATACTGCAAGGTGCAGCACAGCAGAAGCGCGCCGATTGGTACGAGAGCTGTTGGGACTTTAGTCACGGCTGATAGCTGCTGGTGGAGATGATATCTGCTTCAGGGAGGCGTGCTCCTGGAAAATCCAGATACAACATGGCCTTCAGCCGCCATGCATCTGGATGTACTGGCGCAGAAGCAGTTCAGAGTCACGGGAACAAACAAACGGATGCCACGACAAGAATTTCAAACCCATAGATGCAAGATGCTAAGACCGCTAGCGCGCACGGGCATGCACTATCCACTTGTGCATCCCATTGCTCACCTGATCGAGAATGGGTCCAGAAGTGGATGAATTGGCGTCCTACAAAAGCGTGACCTCTGCCGCAGCCACCTCTTTGGCTGCCGCCAAGCCCGGCATGACTTGTGGAGACTCTTGTGCAAAGGCTCCAACCTCACCTTCTAGTTCAGACGCAGTTAAGCATGCTTCGGGCAAGCAGGCTACAGCTTGAGGCTGCGTGAGCATACAGGAACCGCACATGCACCCTGCAGCAGCGCACAAAGAAGCAGCTCTTCCATACTAGTAATAGTCATAGTAGTAGTAGTAGTAGTAGTAGTAGTAGTAGTAGTAGTAGCAGCAGCAGCAATATGAGTCGTGGTAGTTGTTAGTGGTTGTTGTCGTTGTTTTGGTGGTAGTAGTGTTGTAGCAGTAGAAGTGGTGGTAGTAGTAGAAGCAGCAGCAGCAATATGAGTCGTGATAGTTGTTAGTGGTTGTTGTCGTTGTTTTGGTGGTAGAAGTATTTGTTGTAGCAGTAGTAGTGGTAGTAGTAGTAGTAGTAGCAGTAGTAGCAGTTTTAGGAGTTGTGGTGGTGGTGGTGGTGGTGGTGGTGGTGGTGGTGGTGGTGGTGGTGGTGGTGGTGGTGGTGGTGGTGGTGGTGGTGGTGTTCGTGGTCGTAGTAGAAGAAATCGAAGTAGAAGCAGAAGTACTCCAAGTAATTACTTCTACAAAAGAAGAACTACTACTACTACTACTACTACTACTACTACTACTACTACTACTACTACTACTACTACTACTACTACTACTACTAGTGCGCAGGCATCACTACGAGAAGCGATCTAGCAGAAACCCGCCTGGCCTCAGTAGCCGAACTGCGTGTACATCCCACCGAAGGCCCCAGGGCCAGGCCTGGCTTCGGAGCTGAGGATCAGCCGACTTGGAGGAGGGAGCATGCGGACGAAATGCGGATGAGGATGAATGCGATGCTTACACCGGCGAGGCACGAAAACTGCTTTGATGATTGCTGACGAAACTGCTCTTGATAATGAGCGGGGCTACCAGCACGATCACGGCGAACATCGCTCTGATCGTCAGTTGCACAATAAGAAAACAAAAAAAAGCAAGTTGGGTAAAAGTAGAAGCACCGTAGGCACAAGCGCACTAACGTATCACTAGTCTTGGTGGCACCAGCTGCTTTGGCTGACCTTTCTGAGGTGCGCGGGCTTGGGTGGTGCCCCGGTAAGGCTCATGCGAAGGACGAATGTTGGTTTGTGAGCCTAATGGCTATGCTGCCAAGACAACCACCATCCCTCCAAGTAGCAAACGGTGAACCCTCTCATGCCATAGTCATTTCAACAACCAGCCAGCAGCCACGTGGGACAGATCACCGAAGATGATAGCTCGTTCCGGCAGCGGATGGAGAACCGAGGACCTCATGGAAACTAGTCTTTGATGCTGAACCTTTTTATTGTCCAATTTCTTCTTGATATCATTATACAAACCTGTATGGTCCAATGCAGCACACTCTCTCTAAAACTAAGAAACAACGTAATGGTTTGCAAGGACGCCGGACCATCAATGGTGAGACTAGCAACAGAAAAACAACACAACATACGGTAAGAACTTGAATTGCTGTGTGCAGTAGCGGAGAAGTTGTTGTCTTGGCGTCGTCGTCGCCGTCGGTTCGTCGTGGTTGTCGGAGTCCGCTTAATAGAAGACGTTGAAAGAGCAGTAGCAAGTGCAGTATGAGAAAGCTGTATTAATGCAGCAGCGGCACTTCTCCGCACCCCTCATACCACTACTGCCATCATCGTGACGCATGTCGCGGTTCCTACAGCCACTGTCCTGTCACATCACTGAAGTCGCGTGGTGGTAGTAGTAGCAGCCGTAGGAGTAGGAGTAGGAGTAGGAGCAGGAGCAGGAGTAGGGGTAGGGGTAGCAGTCAGAGTAGGAGTAGCGGTCAGAGTAGGAGTAGCAGTCGGAGAAGGAGTAGCAGTCGGAGTAGGAGTAGTAGTCGGAGTAGGAGTAGGAGTAGTAGGAGCATTTGCGATGCGCAGGACGGCTTAAACTGCACCTGTTGAATCCTGAAGCCATCCTTCTCCCTGTCCAAGTGTTGGCTAGGCTCCAGGCCACCTGCCCTCGAACCTCGGACAATGCCCCTTTGAGGCACGGGGCCCGTTTCCGGCGTCTCGGGCTTTCGGGGCTCAAAGCTTCGGCTTCAGTCCCGGGCTTCAGACAAACGGGCTCCCAGCTACGAACGCGTGGACAAAGAAAAATACGAAACAACACTCAGAGGTTTTGCAACCCAGGCACGAAGGTCGTACTGACCCGGGCCCGGATTTTGACCTCAAGTCGAGGACAAGCCGCCATCGCGCCATGAGATCTTCAGCAACGGAATCCATACGACTGATAAGCTTCCGGGTTCTCCACCATTGGCGCGGATGCCCCGGTTGGAGGTCCCAAACCTCGGAGACTGAACATATCGACACGAACAGCCAAGAGCCAAGAGCCAAGGCACCCCCATCTCGGGGCCGAGGACAGTGGACCTCACCAGGCCGTGTGCGCAGAGCAAGTCTACGTCTCTACGTTCTTGTTGGGCCCAAAGGGCTTTCACCGCGGCCACCACAAAGGTCGCCATAAGTCCCTGGACCTGGCGTGGAGCACCTCAGTGCGGATTTTTCGAGCTTGAACGCTGTACCGCGACTATCTTTGATCTTGCGGCACAGCTGGAGAATCGCGCTGCGCTTCCAAAGACTTGCAGGGGCCCCGACCGCCGCCGCACCACCGACCCATCACGGCGAGGAGTGCAGGTGTGCCGTGGGAACTGCGGCCTGATGGATTTCTTCGCAATTCTTCGGAGAACCGGCCTTTCAACTCATGCCTCGTGGAGTTCACATTCGGCACATAGGCGCCAGGACCTGCTCGAGCCGGAAAAGAATCTGAGACTCTCGCAGCTCCATTCACGATTTTTCCCTTCCCGTCCTGGAGTTCCACCCCCATTCCCAAGCCTGGATACAAGCTGGGGATTGTATGGATGGATTCGGATCTCGCCCGCATGACGCTGAACTGAGCGCACAGCCCGCGTCTCGCTCTGCCGAAGGCAGGCCCCGCAGAGTGTGGTCGCTTCTGACCGAGACAGCAAACTAGCGGCAACTATGCTTTGCTTTTGGCTTCAAGTTTGTCACTACTCAGACTTGCGACAATCTTGTCGTCGTGAAGTTCGGACTTATGAGAGAGCCAATTTGCAAGCGTCAGACTGCAACTACCTGGCGAGCTTCGATCGAAAACAAGAGATCTTACAGGCTGGAGAAATCAGCGTTGTCGAAGGAAGCTCAAAAAACACAAAACCCCTCCGAAATGGTCGCCATGGCTGTGAGCTCACTTGGGGCAGCGGCTGAGCCGTAGGACTCGCTGGCGCCGTAAGCTCCGGGGCCCGGGGATGCCATGGACAGCAGGCCCTGCGGGTGCCAACATTTCATGATATCGAGCCGACCCGCTTAACAGAGCACCTGATCCCGTGCACAGGACCCGAAGCCGTAGCCAGGTTGCCTGGCATAAAACCAAACTCTCAGATTGGCAGAGCATAGATTTTCCCGCCACGGCTACGGCTCTAACTCGAGAGCCCGAGAGGCAGCCTGCACCCTTGTCCTCTGGCCTTTGCGATCGAGAGTCAGCACCATAGGTGCCAGGTCCGGGTGTCAGTGGCCTCTTGTGTTGAAAGGCTTCTCCGGCATGCGCACGATTGAGACGGCACAGTTTAATCTGGCCCGTCCTTGAGTTCGCAAGACCATAACGTCCGGCGAAGCTCCACTTCGGTGCCTCAGATTCCGGGAAAGTTTGGCGAGACCTCAAGCAACAGCAAGAAAAACCTGGGAGCAGTGCCTGTTTGTTTTGTGACATGGTGGTGAGGAACACGCTGCCCTCATAACCTGCACTGCTCGGCCGGTATAACGACATGGCGCACTCTTGAAGGGGCGGGGTGCTTTTTCAATGAGAAACCAATCGCAACTGTCCTGACTGTCAAACAAAGTGTGTCAGGCCACCGTTCGGCAGCACGACTGTTGGTCCACTGTTCTTGCCAACAAAGCTGTTGTTGCGAAGACCTGTGTAAGCTCACATGGCTCGTCGGTTTTCAACACTCAAACTTCAAGCAATGTCAACTCACAAAAGTTGGACGAGTCACCTGGCCGACAATCTCAAATTGACTCGGTGTTGTTCTCGTTGTTGTGCAATCTGGGAAAGATCGTGGACAAGGCAAGCTCATTGGCCTTCAAACCATTCGGAACGGACAATCGAGCGGTAGGTGACATCTCGAGACGCAGATGCATATCCGATACGTCTGAAAAGTCAAGTGATGGAAATTGAACGCCAACCCAGCAAACAACAAGAGGAACTGGCACCGAGCTTCGGTAGCTGCGAAGGTACGAAAATGTGCTGAAGCACACATGCGTAAACAACCAGAACGGGCCAACGACGACAAGCAACGCAGCTACGACCTATCAGTGCCTGATACCGTTGGATGCTTACCAGCACTGCCGCACCGCCTCTCTTACATAAAAAGCTGTCACAAAAACATGAAGTTGAGACGACAAGAGCTTTTGTGCGAAGTAGCGGTATTGCAAAGTTTTCGACACATCTAGTAACTTACTATGGAAAAGCAAAACATTGCGAAGTCGATTCGCCCCTTGGAACCGGTGCATTTTCTGACCTGGAACAAAAGTCCTCTGCATTATTGACATGTTGTTCGTCGGATAAGACCCTTTTTGCGTAGTTTGGTTCCGTATGTCGAACATCTTGTTGTGTTTGAACTTTTGGTCATTATTTTTGTTTCATGTTGTCAACAGAAACTGAATTTTCGGCCACGTTTCACCTTTCGGCAAAGACTTTTGACATTTGTGCTGCAGTGACTTCGGCACCCTGAAAAGTCGGAAAGGGACACCAAAATACATGAAGCTCGAATCGAACAAACCAGAAAGGCGTGACCTCGACAGTGTTAGTTGCACGCTTATCGCCTCAAAGATATTCGCACATTTCAAACATATTGTAGATTTTGAGATATGCGCACCGATCAACATGTCAATCCAATTCTTTTCGCGTCGGTTCGCCTCGTAGACAGCGGCTGCTGCGGTCGGTCCCAACATGAACAAAAGAGACAAGTGGAACTTTAAAACGTGAAACGCGCACTCACCAAAGCCAACTACAATTACAAGTAATCAACTGGCAATCTACATGCACAGAAAGGCTGCGGCGGAAAGACTTGGTCGGCCAAAACCGTCCAGCAACAAGCTGTACAAAACTGGGCCCACGCTCAGCTGGCCAGGGCAGAGCGCTTCGGCTGTGGACAAAAGAAGCTCAGGCCTGGTGCGCTGGAGGACCGACGCCTCTCCAAGACGATTCGCCAGGAAAAGGTTGCATCCGTTCTGAAACGGCGGATGGAGCTCGATGGTGCACTGCGAAGCCGGAGTGGTCAGCAAAGTCCACAATCCTCACGCCGAAAAGGTGAGGGCTGAACCGGATCTCCGCCGCCGGGACACTCATCGGTAAGCTCAAGATGGTGCGGCAATTCACCAGGGACAGAAGTACTTCCCGGAGTTTTAGGTAGGCTTGCACTGCTCTAGCACTGCAGCTCTCTTTTTTAACCGTGTTGGATCTGTAGGCTGGCGGCTAACCAAAGGCTGACCAAGCAAGGAGGCATGATCGGTCATGCAGGAAAATACCCCCGGTTAGTCTTGGTGAGAAACGAGTGAAAGAGGCTTGCAATCGTTATTCAGAAGGCGAAGTCGGCGTCGCATGGCAGACCTGAGCGCGGGGGTTAGGGAGGGAAACCCGAGGGGTGGGGCTTGCAACTCGCGGCTGACGTGGAAGAAGAAGAAGAAGGCCTGCAGGGCAAAGGAACTGCGTTAGGTTGAACAAGCTTCGAAGGCAAGGCCGAGGCTGTCGATCAAGGATCTAGGGCTGGATCCACGGTTGTCTTGTGCAACCTGAAGGCAAAAGGCTACCGATTGGCTTTGCATGCGATAGCAGCAGCCCTCGGTGCGCCACGGCAGCACTGAAGGCTGAATACCTGGCAAGACTGCAGGCTAAAGGTGCGGGTGGGCGGGGCTTTTCGAGAACTGCAAGTACTAGAGCCAGGCTACAGGAAGGCATGTAGGCATGTCAGGTGTAGAGATTCACAAGCTCCGAAAACATTCCTGAAACAGAACAGGCAACGTTTTAGTAGACTTGCACTGCTCTAGCACTTCAGCTCTCTTTTTTGAACCGTGTTGGATCTGTAGGCTGGCAGCTAACCAAAGGCTGACCGAGCAAGAAGGCATGATCGGTCATACAGGAAAATACCTCCACTTCAGGCCGGTAAACAGGGCAGTAAGAACAGTTCCTCCACTGCGGGCGGTGGAGCTGGGGACCTGGGCAAGACAGGATGTGGTAGAATCTGGTAGAAGGTTCTGGGCTTGAACATGTCGGCAGCAAGCGGAAGAGGGCAGTTGCTTGTACGCCGCATTGAGGTTCCAGCGCACAAATCCGCACATAAGGACTTCAAAGAAGACAAGTGGAACCACATCGCCAACATTCCAGCAACTGCGTCCAAGGTGTGAACAGGCGCACGTCCGTGAAGAAAAAATTTCAACATTAATTCGAAGAGCCAAACAAATCAAGTTGCCGAAGCAGCTTGTCGGGAAAGCTAGCGAAACCAACGAAGCGAAGAGACTGTGTTGGATGACGGCGAGAAGTGGCTGGCATCTGTGTTTCTCTTCAATCTCTTGGAACATTTTGGTACATCGTCAGCAACAGTTTGTCACGGAGGGAGTTGGGCAATGTGAGCGTGTGCGATGCGTCGTTGCTTGCTACATGTGCAAGGAACAAACTGCAAGCATTTGACCCTCTCAGTTGACCTTGGTCACTTACTGTTGACTGTCCATGGGGTCGGCGATTCCGAGCATAGGTTTTTGCAGTGTTCCGGAACCGTGGGTTCGAACACTTGGGAGGGCCCGGGAGGGGGGGGGTGCGGAGAACATAACACTAGAACTTAGGGTTGAACCCCAGGTTCGAACACCTGGAACCGGAGTTGAACTCCGGGTTCGAACACAGTGTTCAAACTCCGAGTTCGAACACTGGTGTTCGAACCCGGAGTTCAAACACTGGTGTTCAAACCCGGAGTTCAAACACTGGTGTTCGAACCCCCGGTTCGAACACCAGTGCTCGAACCTCGAGTTCGAACACTGGTGTTCGATTTCCGGGTTCGAATTCGAACACCAGTGTTCGAACTCAAGTTCAAACACTGGTGTTTGAACCCCAGGTTCGAACACCAGTGTTCGAACCTCGAGTTCGAACACTGGTGTTCGATTTCCGGGTTCGAACACTGGTCTATCAAACGCTTTTACGAACACAAAAGAAGAGAAGCCACACGAAATCGCTTTATGGGGGCTTTTTGCGAAGAAAAGAAAAAGAGAGAAGGAACCTTCACCAGTGCTCGAACCTCGAGTTCAAACACTGGTGTTCGAACCCGGAGTTCAAACACTAGTGTTCGAACCCCAGATTCGAACACCAGTGTTCGAATCTCCTCGAACACTGGTGTTCGAACACTGGTCTATAAAACGCGTTTACGAACACAAAAAAGAAGAGAAGCCACACGAAATCGCTTTATGGACACTGGTGTTTGAACCAGGTACACCAGTGTTCGAACCTCGAGTTCGAACACTGGTGTTCGATTTCCGGGTTCGAACACTGGTCTATAAAACGCTTTTACGAACACAAAAGAAGAGAAGCCACACGAAAACGCTTTATACCCGGAGTTCAAACACTAGTGTTCGAACCTCAGTTCGAACACCAGTGTTCGAACTCCCGGCTCGAACACCTTCCTCCAAGTGTTCGAACTGGAGTTGAACTGGAAGTTCCAATGTTCAATTTGGAGTTCAACTGGAAGCTGAACTTAGTGTTCGAACTAGAAGTTCGGAGACAGCTATGGTGTTCAAACTCGAAGTTCAGGGCCTTGAACACTGTGTTCGGGGCCCTGAACTCGAAGTTCGGAACACTGTGTTCCCGAACTTGGGGTTCGAACACCCCCCCAAAAACCTATGTAGGGCGATTCCACTGCACCAGCTAAGCACATTAGTTGTCCCTTGCTTGACCGAGGCATATGGCGACCTTGGCGCCGTCAGCTGAGGTGGCGCAGTCTCCTGCAGCGGGCCTCGTCCTGCGTTTGGCCGCTGGGCGGCCTTGGGGGCCGGTCTTAACATCCCTCTTCCACTACGACTGTGCGGCACCATGGCAACCAAGCGTTCTCCGCAGCTGAGGTGTGCGCGTGCACGGGCAGTTGCGTGACCGCCACTCGCGCCTTACGTCATACTTTGAGATGACTGGGCGGCGGAGGCTGCTGGCGCAGCTTGCCCTTCTCCCGACTCTGCCGCGTTGCACAGTGCACGCAGATTGGAGGCAGGCGGAGTTACTCGCTGGAACCCCGTTGATGGGCGCACAGACCAGGCACTCCGACGATGCAGCTGTCGGGGCATACCTTGGCTTCCTGTTGCAGGCCTTCTATTGGAGTCCGGGCGCAACAGGCGCCTATACAGCGGCATGCCGAGTCCCCACTCCGCCGGAGCCATTAGCCTAATTGCTGGCCCACCTTGTTCTCGTTGAGCAGCCGGAGCTGCCGGATTGGATGCCTGCCTGGGCCTGGCCTTTTCATGAGCAAACGTATCCCGGCTGTCTTAGGGGTCGGCCCCGCCTTTGTGCAGGAGGACGGCGCGGGAGGCAAAACGTATCTTCGCGACTTGGACGACCTCAGAGATTTGCCCACGTTCGCGGAATGCCTTTGGGGCTGGTGGGGCATCCGCCTGGCTGGGCAAACCACCTGCCACTCATCAGTGCGAGCTGGGATGTGGAAGGCGGCCGCCCAGAGCACCATGTGGCCGCAAGGCCAAAACGCCCCACCCGGCCAAAGTTGGCGTCGAGCAATGGCT